CTCGTGAAGAAAATTGATCACCACTAATTACGGCTACTATTTCGTTTATCAAAGGTGCATTGTATCGCCTTTCATGCTCTCCTCGAGGGGTCCGATCTGCGTGAATGACTACTTTATAATCCTCTTCAGGTAGGTTTTCTAAAGCAGTTTTTAATGTTTTGACTAAAATGTTACGTTCATGCAAGAGTCTTTGAATTGACACTGTGTCTCTCTCAACTTCCTGGATAAATTGGCAGTGACGGTCTACCTCAATTTCTTCGTCACCCATAAAATATACGTGAAAAATTTTTGCTGTTCGTTTTCAGCTGGAAAAATTGAACCTATTCTATGATAAATTTGCCCTTGCACCGTAAATGTAGACGAAAATCCCGGTATTATTATTTCCCGGTGAACTCCGAAGGACGTCGTTTGAAAGCATGATTATATTTCCGGATCCTGTTTAAAAAGCGTCATGACTCATTAGCATCATATAAAAAGAGATTTTTCAAAGGTTCTTCTGGTTTCCCAAGTAACGGAAGAGACACTTTGCCATAACAGCAATGCCTGCGGTCTCATCTTTCCATTTTAAAGCGCTGCAAAATCGACACGCCTTGTCCATCAGTCCGATAACAACTAACCTGTGATTTTTATAATCAATCAACGGATCATAATTGAATGCTGCGTCATTAAAAACCGACCAATTGTTTATTTGAAAAATTTTTCGACGTTCAGCTTGGAGCTGTGCATTTGCATCTCTTCGCTGTGTCTGTTCTGGTGTTTCAGATGCCCTTATAGTAGATTGACGTTCAGCTTGCTCAATGAGTCTGTGTTGAGTTTCATCAGGTGTTTCCGCGGCTCTTAAGGCGTTCAGACGTTCCGCTTGTTCGAATTACCTTTGCTGACTTTAAACAGGTGTTTCAGTAGCTCTTAAAATAGATTGACGCTCTGCCTGTTCAAGACGCCGTTGCTGACTTTGATCAGGTGTTTCAGTAGCTCTTAAAGTAGCTTGACGCTCTGCCTGTGCAAGACGCCTTTGCTGACTTTGAGCAGGTGTTTCAGGAGCTCTTAAAGTAGCTTGATGCTCTGCCTATTCGAGACGCCTTCACTGACTTTGAGAAGGTGTCTCAGATGCTCTAAAAGCAGCCTGACGCTCTGCTTGTTCTTGCCTTCTCAGTTCAGCATCTTCTAAAGATTCTAGCGATCGAGCTAATCTTTTCGCTTGTCTTTGAGAAGATACTCTTGAAAGGCTGGACTTACATTTGCGAGGCATTATGAAGTAACAAAAAACCTATTTATAAAAAAACGTTAAAATACCTAAAAGGAATTAAATTTCCTTTTAAATATTTTTTTTTAAATCAAATCCAAAATATCTAAAAGGAATAAATATTCCTTTTAAATATTTTTTAAAATCAAAACAACAAAACCAATTCAAGACACAACACGAATCCGAAAACGATAGCCAAAAAAAAATCGAATCAACTTAAACCAAATCACAAAACAAATCACAGAAAACTGAAATCGAAAGCAGTAGTCAATATAAATATAACCATCGAAAAAAGAATATACTATTAATATTCCTTTGAAATATTGTTAAACAACCTAAAACAACGAAAACCAATTCACGATTCTAAATAAACAAAATCCAAAATCAAGGCCAGAGTCTAAATATGTATAAAGGAATACCAACCAAATCAACAAAACCGATCTAAGAAAATACACAAATCCGAAAATGAAAAAATCCATTCAACCTTAACCAAATCACAAAGCGTATAACAAACAACCGAAATCGAAAGCAAGTAGTCGAATAAGCTACGAAATAGAAACAATTTAAGCGTATAGGTACCGTATGCACTTTAAGTTGACGCGCGGCACAACGGCGGGAGTTAAGTACATGTCAGGGAACATTTCGTTACCGCATTTTAAAACCTAGTAACGACATCTAGCGAAATAAATTTAAACTATGTATACGTTAGTTAATAAGAACTCTCAAAAAATATTTTTCTTATAATTTTGCACAATTTTTCTTATTGTAATACCGATTCATTCATAACCACATATAAGAACTGTATTCATTTCCGTTCAATAAATATTACTAAGGCTTACTAAGAACTGTTTCTACCACAGTTAAGGGTGAAAGCGTGACAGGTGGTGATAGTATTTCTGATCCATACTTATAATCACGCCTGTAACCCTTGCGGGGTAGGCAGAGCATCAACGGATTACTTAATATCGTCTGCGAGGTTATCGCCTATTCTGTGAATTACAATGCACCAAAACGTTTGAAGAAAATCAGCTGGTGAATTTTATGTTTTTTATCGCTCTCTTCCCGGTCCTGCGTGGAAAAATACAGATCTATACATTTTTTATCTTAATTTTGGTAAAAAGACATAATAATCCAGATATTCTGACCTTCTGTGTTCGTCCATCGTACCGTCGTCCGTCTTGTAGAATCACGGTGGCGCCACCTAGCTGAATTTAATTTTGCAACATATTCGATTTTCCCACGGGAATGATATGTTTTTCCTCTGAAAAAAGTAGCCTATGTCACTCTACAGCCACCGAACTATCCCCATACAAAAAATCATGCCATGCCGACGCTCTGTTGCGACGTGAAAGAAGGACAAACAAACAAACAAACAAACAGACACACTTTTGCATTTATAATATTAGTATGGATAGTACAATACCCGGCGATAAATATTGCACATCTACCTTTGGAAAGAGGCAATCAGCTAATTTCGGTTTCGTAGAGCGTTATCTCTGTCGGTCAGTGAGCGACAGAGATAACGCTCTACGAAGCGGAAAATAGCCGATTATCTCTTTTCAAAAGTCGATGTGCAATATTTATCGCCGGATACTGTACAATTAACTTACAGTAGGCAGAGCGCGTAACGTACCGATTTTTTTTTTAATTTTAATATATCATTCGATCGAAATGAATGTATTATCAATCCTCATGAAAAAATATAACTCTTCCAAATTTAAAACGATATTTCCGCAATTATTTCTAATGTGGCGGCAACGCGCCATGTACCGGCTAGTAGAATATAAAAAATATGAAGATAGCTTAAATATACTGCTAGGATACATATCTCTTCTCACTTCTGAGAGGGTTATGGAGCAGGAGCAGTTAGTACGACGGGCTGCTCTAGTGCGTGTTTGAGGACTTCAAATATCCTTAAAATATTTTGTTTCTCAGACACATGTAGGTTACCTTACAATCTTTAACTTTACCCCCGAACACGTGGCGAATCAGCACTTAATAATAAAATAATAGCATTTAACAATTTCATTCATCCCAGCAGATGTTGCTCTCGGGTTTTTTCACGTTCTATGAAATCATAATAGCGAAAAGACGAAGTTCTTTAATTCTTTACTGATCCTTTTTTATTAATACATAGATAATCTACAAAAATCTATTAATATAATAATATTAAAACTCGGAAGATTTTATTTTAGTCCTTTTCTTCAAAATAAATTAAAATCTTCTTCGTTTAATCGTTTAGTTCTTTTTTTTAATATTAGGAACCTTAAACGATAATGAATGTGCAACTGACATCTTTAACATTGCCGTGGACAAAATTTTACGTTATGCATTTCGTGCACGAAATAAGTAGAAAAATGATAGAAGCAGTAAAGTAATTTGACACAAAATCTTGAGTAAGATATTAATATGATAATTTAGTTATAAAGAATTTGTCTCCTCTACGCTTCAAAGCTTAGGCGGGTATTCTGAGACAATCTTGACTTTTAACTTAAACTGCACTATGTCCATTGAATTATATATTACTTTGAAATCATTGACTATGTAATTTGTGTAATATTATAATATCGTAGTATGATCCCGTCTTTCAACCCCCTAGATCACGGTCTAGTCAAAATTCAAATTTTGATATGGGAAAATTCTAGTTCAAACTCGAGATTATCTCTGATTATCGGCCTTATAAAAGCCTTAGAAAGATGTAAGTAAAAAGGGTTGAAATAAACTTCTGTCTCCACTGTCGGTCTTACTCTTATAATCGTAGATTATCATTAAGTATTACTATTCTCTATATTTCTCTCTTTATTTTCATTTAGTGAAAAGAGAGAGAGATTTTTACGAGTAAGGCTGTCTATTTTCAAGACTATAGCTAAGAAAAATGTGACAAATAATTAAAAAGGAAAACAAATAAGTTTGTAAGTTTTCTGACCCTAACAAAAATGGCTGGAGGTGCGAAACCCTAATCAACATATCATGCATTCTACAGATTAGATAGTAGGTCTACAAGCGAAAAAAATACTGTAAAATGCTAGGACGCCGCTACTTCTTTAATATAGAAAAAGGGTGAAACGCATCATCCGCTCAGTTGATGCTGTGCTCCATAGACACATACTTATAGCCATGATAAATAATTGAAATGTAAATGCTTTGTCAGTGAGGATAATTTTTTATAAGATAAGGGTGACAACCGAGCACACAGTCCACCTGATGGTAAGTGGTTGCTGCGGCTCATAGACATCTACATTCATCCTCGATAACGAATCAAAATGCAGATGCGTTGCAGGACTAACATGTAATGCCTCGTTTCCAGTAAAATTGGTCTCCGATTCTTTATATTTACTACACGAAATACAGCACCATTGAGCTGCTACATTACGCTGGTATTCTGTGAGAGCGTCGTCGAGCCGGCCCCTTCGTGCAACAATTATACCACGTATATAGCGTAATAGCTGCAGCATGGCTCTATCACGTTAAACACGTGCCTCGTTACAATTAAAAAGGCTTATCCAGTTTACTACACTAAATATACGAAACAGCAACGTTTTACGCTGGTATTCTGTGAGTAATACCTACCTCTAGGCATGAATATACCTTTAGATAACTCCTTTACCGAAGAGAAGATTCAAGAGGTGCGTTATTTCTTCTAAAAATAAAGATAGAATGTCACATTGCCAGTAGCTATCATTCTCCAGCCCGATACAAAAGATAGGCTCATGAATAAAGAGAAGTTTAGTTTAGTGCAGTGCGCGTATTAGTCAACCTGTACCACCATGTGAGTGTACGACTGGCAGTGGGGTGGCTGCTCTGATGTACGCGTATTCCGGTGTGGGGGCGGGTGGCAGTCGCGGCGTCTTCCAGGATCCGGCCGGAAACACGTTTCGTACGTTTGGGTTGTAATGTTTAACTGCATATCTGTAATTTAAGGGTTAATTAAAAATAACCCGGTTTACTTATCCGTTAGTCTTCGGATTATGGACGAGTAAGCTAAAGTGATAATAACTAATACTAAACGAAATTACCACATTCATGTGTTTTTGAGAATGCCTTTTAATGGCTCCAGATAAGTTATTTAAATCATCGTATCCGGTACTATACCAAGCTGTTTTGTCGTTGGAAAAGAATATGCTGCACCAGTACATCTTATTGGTATGTGAGCAGCCAACAATCCAATGAATTTTGTAAACAGATCTATTAAATTACCATTTGTGGGTTTGACTCGTCTGCGAAAAAAACAGATCAGGCGTTGGTTTCGGCGAGGATATGAGCTGTTTTTTTTAACAATGTTTAAAGATTTTACCTTTTCCTCGCCAATTAGCATTTTAACACACTTTAATTCATCACAAGGAACATATATATCCTCAATATTCACTATATATATATAACATATATATATATTCATAATGATTTCTTATATTTACACGAACACTACACAAAACATTACAATTTTAATCAGAGAAACACTCGAACATTGACCTTACAATAGCTCTCTGAATGACTAAGCTACCTCATGTTACTGAATAGCCATAAGGAAATAAAAATGTACCTGTGAGGCAACGATGTCCTATACAGGACATAAGGTGCTCTATGCGAAGCGGCTGGCATGATGCGCTGGTGCGCCCGGTGCCGCTGCAGTACCACTCCGGGTCGGAACACGGCCGGCGAGTGCAGTCTGTTCACGTGCGCCATATGGCTGTAGTATGCTGCTTGAGTTAGCGAGCATATTGTGACGAAAACCAATTGTAACTGAAAATAGATGGATAGAAATATTTATAATGTATACAAAATATTTGGTACAAAATGACGAAAGACGAACTTAATGATGAAATGGCACTCTCTGCCAACCAAACTTTGATAGTGTGGTGGAGCTGTGGGTAGTAATTGATTTCCCATGATTTTTCCCTGGGTAGGTCACAATCGCTTTACTTTATAAATTTGTCTATATATCTACCTATTATGAAGGACAACATAAGAGAGCTTGCCATCGTAGATATCAGCTTTTAATACAATTTTTTAGTCCGATCTACGCGGAACAAGCTTACAGTATCTTAAAGTCTAGAAAGGATATGCTTAACTTAGGATTTTATTTTATTAATTATCTAATCCCAGACAAATTGTAACACCTAGCCATCTTGTCTTTCGAAATTAGGATGTGATCTTTAAATTTCAATTGCCCCACGAATCATCCTTGGTAGGAATCAATCTTCTTTTGCAAGGTTTTGATGTCTATGAAATCTGTTGTAATGGTGGGGACGATCTTGGTCATATTCACAGGACTTGTATTAAATATTCATGTAGACTTCCCTAAATGTGAGTTTTCATCAATCTTTTTTTTAACTGTAAAAGAAACCACATTTAAGCTTGTACACCCCTGCATCTTGCAGAAGGATATTGCACTTAAAAGTAGTGTTGGTTATAATGTAGTTGCCTTGTATCTAGAATGAATTGCTACATCATAGGCTGTGTTTATCCATCCTTATCGATCTTCAAATCGCTGCACAACGGTGAGTGTACTGTTGCTGTGTAGCAGAAATGAGTAAAGATTGGTACACCAAGCAGTCGCAGTCCTACACAGAAAAGAAACTCTAGTAAATTATGTGAGATTGACTTGTTCCTAATTAGTCCATCAAGTCCACTGTTGGAAATGGGCATTTCGGACCTTTGACATTGACGCTTCCAGTCATCATAATGCATATTTTAAGTCTGACATAGAAGTAATGGTTATTCCGCCATCTATCGGATACCACGTTAATTTTCCATGAGCCAACTGTTTACTGTTTTATTTGCATAGCATGTCGTAAAAGGCTACTAATGGAATATTGAGTTTGTTACAGTGTAGGCGTTGGGCTAGCCACCTATCACTTCTTTCAAAATTTTCAATTATTCGTTTATTTGGCTAAACGAAATCCGAGAAGCTCGTTGCTCTTTGGACTCTGCCTACCCACTCGGGTATTACAGGCGTTGTGTACTACTCTGAAACTTTATTCTCATGCAAAATTCGCAATTAATAAATAATTTGCCTCCTTTACTTATTATTTATAGACGAATGTTTATGAGTCAAGTGCAGCGACAACGGTGCAGCGACTATAAAAGGAAGGTGTCGGGAAAGAAGGCTTGTATGTCTAGATTGTCCACACCGGGACCGGTTTATTTCTAACTGAAGAGAGTTTGTCGGGGATATTCTCACAAGCCATTCTAGAGACTTATCTGTTCAAAGAATTCCATATAGCTTTCTTAATTTTTTCTTGATCTTGAATAAATGATCTATTAAGGGCTCGAACACATTAGTGTTAGACGATCACGAAATTGTTCACGTGATGCAACTGTTGCGCCAATATAGTTTATACATCGGTAGTCAAGGATGTAGTTAATTTTTTCAAGTTGCTATAGAGTCAACTTTAGTTTGTAATGTTTTGTTTATTATAAGATCAGAAAAATGCAGTTTTCATTTCATAAGTTAGGCCTCGAATTCCTGCGTATCTTATCATATTGTTAGTATATTGTGTAGTAGATATAATGATGATTTAGTATAGGAATAGGTAGACAAAGGTACGTCCCCACATTATTTTCTTTAAAAATGCGCCAGCTGATAAGGGTATCCTGGAAGATTTGCATTTTCTTATCACGGTAGTCATGCGAGCTGAATGCTGGTAAGCAGAATTCTCTTAAACTGGTAACATCGCACTATCGTCGTTATATTTTATTTTGCTACAACCGGCCAAATTTGCAGAGAAGGTTCGATTAAGTGATATGAGCAAATGGTGAATAAAAATTAATTAAAAAATCTCAAACATCCTGTTCTTTTTATCTTTTAAAATCAAAATGCGTGATATGCATAATTTTAACGGGTATTACTGCACACGCACATTGGTGAGGGTCAATTTTGTATCAAATTTTGACAATGGTTCCAAATTTATTAGCATCTTTCCAGACTTCGCAAAGGTGTTCAGTTTAATATCAATTCCAGTTCTTTTAAGAAAACTGGAAGCCTATGGTATTATATGTAACGGCTTAGAAGCTATATTCAGGAAAGAAAACAACAACAACAAATTATGTTTATGACATCACCATCATTTTCAATGAAAACATGAGGCCTGCAGTTTATCAAAAAATATCTCAAAAATTTACACCTCAAAAACTATATTTCTATGTTTTCATATGCATGTCTCGCTTAATGCTATATGAAATTAATGAATGATTTTATTAAATATCGATTATTACATAATACTATTATATAATTTTTTATTTATCACTGTTTCAGAAAATACCTACATCCTAGAAAGAATCAGCAAGAAACATAGCGGGACTTAATTTTAAATGTATTTCACTTTACAATAATTTTGTTTGTACAATTTTTAAATCAATTTTAATGGAATCAGCATGGTGGCTATCACCTCATTCCCAGGGGTTATTTTCATTTATATATATTCTTTGATATTATAACAACCCCTTTTTGTACAAATTTTCTTTAATAAAACATTTAAACTTGATTATTGATAAATTTTGTATATTTTCTGGGATTTTATTGTAAAAGTTTATCATACATTGCACCATAAAAGAACTACTAATTTTGTGAAGTCTTGTAACTGGTATTACAAGCTCGTGTTTATTCTTATCAACGCTATTTATGTTTTTATATAAAAACATTACATTTTCATAAATATATTGCGATGCAAAAGTTAATATGTTTGTTTCTTTAAAAAAAGTTCTAAGGAACTCCTTAAAATTTTAGTTATAAATTGCCCGCACGTCTCCATTTTGCAAAACAAATATGGCTTCAATGTCAATCGCATTACCTCTTAGCAAAATTCCATAAGACATTACGCTATGAAGGTAACAAGAATAAACTAATCTAGATGTCTCAACATTGGTGAGTCTTCTAATCTTTCTTACAGCATATGCTGCAGAACTAAGTCTGCCTGCTTATTTAGATATATGGGAGGCCCCATTGAAGCTTCGCGTCAATAGTAATACCAAGAAAAACAGTTGTATCCACAAGACTCAACTCGTCCCCATATAAATCTCCTCCCTGTTTGAGTTTGAAAATTAAAGAGGTATCATCAGCAAATTATATCGTGATTGTGCCCTACAAGGTAAGTCATTAATATAGATTAAGAACGTAAATGGGCTGATAATTGAGCATTGAGGAACGCCTAATATTACTAATCCGGAGGAACCTTTAACATTAATAACGACCTTTTCTGTTATTCAAATATGAAATAATAAGTCTAAGCACAATATTTTCGACACCATAATGTTGTAGTTTTCTAATTAATATCTCATGATGAACATAATCGGAAGCCTTGGAAGATCACAAAAAAATCCTAAGGCATCTTCAGAATTCTCCCAGGCATTGAAATTATATTTCATTAGCTCAACACCTGCGTCGTTCGTCAAGCGACCCTTATAAGACCAAATTGATTTTTAAGGAGTAATTTATTTGTTTAATAAAATAAAATAAAATAATATTATAAAGTTTTTTTACACTTGATCGTAAATTATTTTTTCAAAAATTCTACTGAGAGTTGGTAGTACAAGAATAGGTCTAAAATTAGAGTTCCTTTTTGAATTTAAATAAAAATATTATTTTACTATGTTTCATTTCATCAGGAAAATACCAGATTCGATACTAGTTTTAAAAATGAAAGCAAGATGAGGTACAAGAAAATCTATTATAGACGCAATAACCAACGGAAATCTCCTATAAATCTGCGGTCAATACATCATGGATTTTGAAACATTTTAAAATATCTCGTGATACTTAACACTTTTTCAAATCTAAATTCTTTTAAACAGGTATTAACATTCTATTTGAGTAAAGACTCGGTGACAGTTGGAGAAGTATTCAATGACTCGGTTGTCAAGACAGGAATATCAGTGAAATATTTCTACGACTTTTTGATTTGATCTAGT